CATTTAACCCTTAGTGCTCCCCATGTGCCCACGAAGCAGAATTCAAATTCTCCCTCCAAGTGTATTTAAAAGGATATTCCCTTTAAACCTCTAGGTCAGTAGCACTTTTTTTTCATAATATTGACGCCTTTCAAACAATCTTCTTAAGGGGAAATTTTTCGCCTTAGGACAAAAAGTAATGTGCTGCTCTATTAGTGATTATTCAGTTTAAAATCCGTAAAGGCATGGAGGCTGGATTGTTTAGGTCACGCTTTCGTAATGCGCCCATTTTCGCTATGCCTTAGAATTAGAGATGCAAGTTTTGCATTAGTAGTTCAATAGTTCAGATGCCCATTTCGTGATGTACACAGCAGAAACAGTCAATTTAAAATAATTTAGCATTAGTTTTTTTAAGGTTAGAGCTCATTTGCAAACAACGAATGGAATTTCGTTGCCTCACAAAGCGAAACAAAAGTGGCGATTTGAATAGGATATTTACCAGTTTTTAGTCGTAAAAGGGAAAGCTGCTATTTAGTCGTCAAATCACAAGCATCCACGAATAGTTGGATGTGATACCTGAATAAATTTACCTTTTCCTTTCAACAGCAGTCCCCGTCGCGTGTCATCCCATCTTCGTCGGCATTGGTTACAGGAGGCGAGGGAAGATGAGGGAGGGAGTGAGGCAGCCGTGGCAGGTGTTATTGGGCAGGGCAACGTCACCGCTAGACAGCGCGCTTTCTCGGACCCTAGGGCCCCATGTCCTCTGCTCTTGCAACATCAGCAACACAACCAACATCTGCAGCAGAATCCACTGCGACGCCACCCGCAACCGGCGCGTCACTCTGTCGCCTTCTTCGATGCGTCCTCCTCCGCCTCCCCTAAGTTCTCCGCCCTCCACTCCCCGCCACCACAGGCACCCTCTTCGCCCCTCCCCATCTCTCCAATCTCCATCAAGGACAAGTATCGGGCCATTTTCGACCTTCCCCTTGGTGCGTTCCTCGCTCTGTCTTCTCTGACTGCAATTATTCTACTACTGGACCCTGTCCTCAGGCTTTAGTTTCCTGCTGAATTTCTAATGGTGCCATGTGTCAGGTTTGTTCATGGCAGACAAACCTGTCGGTGGCAGGTTTGATCCTTCAGCCTGCGGCTTTACAAAATGCCTTCAGAAGTGTACCTTTCAATACACCGTGAAGTACTGATCGCTTATCGACATATACTACCATACGTATTCGCATCCCTTTTCTGATTAATTATAACTGCATTTTTCTGTGAAGAAGTTTTAATTGTTTTGTCTATGCGTGGCTTCGTGCCTTAGGCTTTATCCACTTTTCAGTGGATACTTTCCTAAGGTTTTTGTAGCACTATACAACATTTTAAGTGGTGGTTTGGGGTCAGTACCTAGGTGCTTGAACTTGTCATCTTTTGGTAAACATTTATATAAATGAACTTTTCTGTTTTTTCGAATATACTACTTTACCAATATGTCTTCCGAGATAAAAAGCGACAAGGTCCTCACTGTGGAGTGTAGTTGCTTGCTAAATTGCAGAAAATGCATTGTGTCAAAGTTTTGTCTTTTCGAACTCGGATTTCATAATCATACTTCCTGAAATAACCTGCACTTAGTCACCGAGTCATTTCATCTTGGAGTTATGATTGTTTTTGTGGTCGTAGCTTTCTAAAAATACATTCATAAATAGGCTGCTTTGACGTTTTTTTCACGAACCACCTTAGTTTGATTAGCTGCGATTTTATAAATATCTTTTCACTAGAATGTTTCTTTTTAATTTCCTCCACGTAGTCCCTTCTGTTTTGGTTGTTAATAACTGTTCTTCCTGTATTTCTTGGGGATGTTTCCGCCACTATATATTTTTAAACACTTAAATAGGGTCGGTGTTTGGTTATTTGAACTCTCTTTTTTAATTGGTATTCTTAGGTACTATACCAGATCACCGCTCTATGTTCTTTCGTATGGCTTCTTTGAATGTTATTTTGAACATTAGTACTTTCCAAAAGAAGCCATGACTAGGCGTATTCTGCGGGGAGCAACCTGATTGTGCAGTTATGATGGCACATTAATCGCAGTTACAACAGGATGCCATTTAGAACACCCTTCACTATTTATCTGCTGATTTTAATTTATGTGCTCTTTACTTCGATTAGTGCTCCAATACAGCTATTGTCATTTCGATTTCACTAATGCTCTCTTTTGTAAAAGGGGTGGTTCTATTTTATCCATGATGAGCTCCATGACAATACTGGACTTTTCCTTTGAAAAAGAAAGTTATTCCATTTAAAGCCTGGGCACTTTGATCTGTCCCTCTTCCAATGAGGATTTGTAAAGCCGCGAATTCAAATGTCTCCCTGGGCCAAACTCTATAATACCTTCTGTTTTTTTCTTGTTCTGCGATGCCATCAAAGGCTCGGATAATACCATACATTGCCAAATTAATTAGTGAGGCCAAAAATTAAAAATTGACTTGAGCCTATTGTTGACCTGATCACTCAGTTGAAGCCCTTATAAAGGGATGATTTTATACCCCAAATAGTCGTCAATTTGTTAAATAATTCATAACCTGTACTTCGTGATATGCAACCGTGAAAACTGCTTAGGTTTGCATAAGCGTACAAGCTCAGAGTTCTAGATGCTCCCTATGGATTTGGCTTCCACATTATCGGGCTTCCTGTAGTAGCAATTTCCGCCTTTCTCTTTTTAAAGTTTTTTTCGAGCTTGAATGCATGCCACGAGTTTGGGCGTAACTTCATCTGTACACAGTAGCATCCAAAGATTAAGTATATTGCCTTCGAAATCATATCAGATAATTCATTTCACTAACCAATGAATGTTTTGACTATTATTTGCGGTATTTCCGTTTAAAGCCCGCTCTCCACCGGCGCTACACAACCTCGACACATAGCACGGCGATTTGGTTGATGGGTGTGGTCAACACACACCGCAATAAGCCTTTTAGATTGGATACAATGAAAATTAAAGGCGTTCTCTATTCTTTCTCAATACATATCGATAAATCTCCCGTTGATATTAATTTGAATAGATGGATCCACTTCCAGTTATTGTTAAATGGCAATCTAATTTTGTTTATTTAAGGATCTCTAATCAAGAAAAAATCAAAATATAAATGGGCAATTACTCTTGAAGCGGCGTTTTTTGGAAATCGTGCTTTGGCTATAAAGGGATCACAAGGAATTAATTACCACAGAGATTGGGACGAACGCTTCAAATAATATGATTTATGTGCGGTTTAATAGTTTGCTTTTCCTGTATTTATCTAGGAGATCACTCTCTCACTACAATCGCAGCAAGTCCAGTAGTAGCACTCAAGACTCACCTGGACTCCCTCGCTAACGAATCAAAGAAGCCCCTGACCAAACAGACACCGCACCACAAGAAGTCAGAGTCTTCCTTTCCGTCCACGGGCAATGCCGTCG